CTTCCAGTTTTGAGGAAACATAAGGTTTAAGCCAAGGACAGTAGCTGTAGCCAAACACCTTTAATTTTGAATAATCTGGAGTTGTCTTGAAGAGGAGTTCCCATGGAGATTTGTCCAGTCTTGAAATTGGTAATCTGTTGATGAGATAAATGCCAGTAGAGAAGGCTTCAACCCAGAATTTGTGTGGGACTTGAGAAGAAACCAATAGAGTCCATGCAGTCTCTGTAAGGTGCCTATGCTTCCTCTCAACACATCCATTTTGTTCAAGAGTTGATGGCAGCTATATTGATGAGAAATACCACTATTTTATAAAAAAAAAGTTGAACACAAAGCTAGTGAACTCACCCCTTGAATCTGATCGCAAGATTTTTATTTTATTGCCAATCATGTTCTTTACATAAGCTTTGAAAGATACAAATATAGAGAAAACCTCAAATTTAGTTTTCATAGGAAACATCCAAGTATATTTGGTGAACTCATCCACAATCAACAAGTAAAACTTGTAACCACTGACAGAAGAAACTAGAGATGGACCCCAAACTTCACAATGTAGCAACTCTAAACTAGTAGACACAGAACTAGTATTGGAAGAAAATGATAGCTTATGATTTTTGCCTATGGCACAATATGTGCAAAAGAAAGATACAAACTTGTCCCTATTGTGAACAAGATTATGCTTATTTAATACTTGTCTAAACATAACAGAAGAAGGATGACCGAGCCTGTTATGCCAGGTCTTCAATGATGCTTTAGTGCTGAACATAGCAGAATGTGAGAAGGGCACATTGGAGAGACCTTGAAAGGGATAAAATCCTGCTTTAACTGGCCTTCGAAAAATCGTCATCCCAGAAGAATGATCCTTGATTTCAGAACCATCAGAATCAAGAGTCAAAGAGCAATGATTATCTTTTAAGAATTGATAGGCAAAGAGTAAATTGAATTTCATCAGTAGAACATAAAGGACATTACTCAATCTGAAATTAGCATGTGGTGTTGGAATGATAGAATTACTAATGTGATGGATATCCATACCTTGTCCATCACCAATGTACACCTTGTCTTCGCCAGAGTATGGATATGGAGATTGAATTGCAGATATGTCATTAGTAATATGGGATGTAGCACCCGAGTCCATCAACCAAATAGGATGAGATTGCTGAGAGCTAGTGTGAGCACACATAGCAGCAAGTTTTGTAAGAGGGATTTTTCTAGCAAAAGCATGATTCATTCTCTCATAACAGTCAATAGCTTCATGATCAAAGGAATGACATATTTGACAGGGAGTTCTTCCACCAGAATTAGAGCGATTTCCACCAAAATTGTTACGATTTCCAAAATTGTTTCTATAGTTGCCATGATTACCACCAAAATTGTGAAAGTTACCTCGAGGATTATTGAAGTTATTGTGAAAATTGCCACGATTATTGCGTTGAAAAGATCCTTGGCCACGATTGTTGTTACACCCACCCCCATTTATAAAAATATAATTATGTATGTATCCCCAAAATATTATGAATTTATCAATTTAGTCCTATTTTGACTACCCATTCAGGATTATTCCCAAGCTGCCACATGGCAGCACCCCAAGACTTTTCTCATTGCTCTCTCTGTCCCCTACCCCTCCCGTGAGCTTCATCTTCTTCTTTCTGTCTTTCTCTTCTCTCTCTCTCGGAATCCTCATCTCTTTCCTTTTCTTCACTGAAATCGCACACACACTCACACGCAAAGGCACGCTCGTGCTAGAAGGAGTCATCACCATCATCAATCCCTCATCAGCTCTCTATCTCTTTCCCGTGCTGTGAGGATGAAACCAAGGAACTCTCCGGCGAGATTTCCTATTCCTCTGGTTAGGTAAGCCTCGAATTCTTCCTAATTCGTCTTAGAATCTTGCGTGAATGTGTTTTAATTAGGTATTACGTTGTTGTTGAGGTTTTAGAATGGAATCAGGTTGGGGGAAGGCACACCTAGCTCCGGGGAGGCCGTGGGTGTCGAGGGAGTTTTCGGTCACCTCCGACCGTTTTACGGCAAAAGGAAGGTATAACGTTGTTCTTCTCGTCTTGTACTTCAATTTGATACCTAGATCGGACCCTAAAAAACTAGGTTTGCAGTCGGCCGGAGCTGTAGAAGCTCCGGCGTTCTTCCCCGGCGCACCCAAGGCCTTTCAGGTCGTTTCCCAACCCATGGGCCTTAAGCCCGTTTTGGTTTTAGCCCAGCCTGTTTCCTTTTGTTTTTATTTTGTTTTTGTTTTTGTTTTATTTCTTTAAAACCCTTAAAGGCCTTCGGGCCGTTTCTTTTAGGGCCTGTGGCCCATTAGATCAACCCAAAACCTTTTTAGGTTTTGTTTAATTATAGTTTTAAGAATTAAGGCCTGGGGCCATTTTATTCAGGGCCTTAGGCCCGAGTGTATAGAAACCTTTATATTTAAGGCCTTTGGGCCATTTAGAGCTTGGGCTTTCAACCCTTTCCCAAACCCATTAACCTTTAATCCAAACCCAAACCTTTAGGGCCCAATCGGCCCAACCCAATCCAAGCCCAGTCTGACTTTGACCGTTTGACCCAGTTGACTGTTGACTTGGTCAACGGTTAGCGTTGACTTTGACTTTGACCTGTCAACGGTTAACGTTGACTTTTTAAGTTGACTTTTCTGGGTTTCGTCCGGGACCTCTCCTAGGCTAATTTCGACGTCCTGGACCTGTTTTTGAAGTATGTTTTTTTTTCCAAATTCAATCGTTTGAATAGAGTTTGACTAAAGGTACCCCTTTATGTGAATATGTGCAATTATTAACGGTGATTCCGTTATTCCTTTTTGGTACAGCTTTGCACCATCGGTGTACGGTGAGTGAAATCATGTTTTAATAATAGAAATGCATACATGAAAAGCATGATTTAATGATTATGTTTTATGAAATGTTTTGTGAGATAACATGCTTACTGAGGCTAGATTAAATTACTACTATTTTTCATATAACCCATGTTCTTATAGAATATCTGATGGATGACGATATGATATTTAGAACATGTTTAGAATACCTCTTTATAGTATAAATGATGGATGACTTTATACTATGAAGTTGTTTTTCAAAATAGATATATTCAATGGTTTTGTACTTACCTAGTGATCATTTCCGCTACGGGACGTAGGGATAGATTCTGGTCCGTCCCGAGCAACGGTTTGGTGTTGGTATAGGGCTTGGAGTGTGTTTCCTCTGGCTATTTAGCACAAAGATGGGGAGCTGGCATGGGGCCTGAAGTGTATTTTCCTTTGACTGTCTGCTCAAAGACGGAGAGCCGGCATGGGGCCTGGAGGTTATTGGACAAATCACTAGTGCTTGTTATATATATAAGTTATGAATTTGAGACATTACACAACATGCTAGGTTTCGGAAAACCTATGTTTTTATTATATGTATGTTTTCATAAATCTGGGGGTTAGTAGGTTGATAACTGTTTTATTATATATATATATATATATATATATATATATATATATATATCAAATTGGTCCACTTATGTTTGTTTTGCGCCCCCTTCAGGACCTATGAACGAGGATTACGATTTGAGCTACGAGGCATTTCCCTACCAGTGATTCAGTGCTATATTTCCTCTGCTTCGACACCTATTGTAATATAGCATTTCTCTATCTTAAATTCTGCTTGTACTCTGTAATAGATGTATGCTCTGAACTTATGTGTATAACCATAATTTTATTAATTAGCAGTTGAACTTTAGTTTTGTATTATTAGTTCCTATTGCTTGTTTTAGTATATTTCTCAGCTTTTACTTAAATCAAATGGCTTTCGTCACCCTTCGGGTGTTGGCCAGCACGTGACCATCCCGATGTCTCGAGGACATCGGGATCGGGGCGTGTCAATTGTTGTTGTGAAACTTTGGTGGAGCATTGTGATTAAACTGTTGAGCAACATGAGCATGAGGAGAATTGTAATATTGTGACGGTGTAGGAAGAAGAGAAGGTTGAAACTGCACAGCAAAGGCATGAAAAGGCACAGAACCAGATGAGGCAATGCCTTTCTTTTTACGATTCATGAAGACTTCCTTATTGATCGGCAAACCATGAAGTTCATCCAGTGTTATGGTGGAAATCCTGACCATGATAGAGTCAATAAACGACTCATACTCATTAGGTAAGCCATTTAACGTAGCAATAATCAAGTCATGATCAGAGACAGAAGCTCTAGGAGCCATTAGAGAATCAGATAGGCCTTTAATTCTTTGTAAATAATCCGAGATAGGAAGATCACCTTTGTGAATAGAGTGAAGACGAGAACAAAGCTGATGAATATAAGCAGCTGAAACGCCATCAAATCGATGCTCGAGATTTAGCCAGAGTACTCGAGACGATGTGACACCGATGGTGAACGGAATAATCTCCTCAAAGAGAGTAGAATTCAGCGAAATCAGTATATTATGATCTTTTTCATACCAAATTTCAAAGTCAGGATTTGGAATTCCAGAGTTTTGACTAGATTGATCAAGAACATAAGGCGGCGGGCAAACTTCAGATCCATCAATGATTCCGGTAAGTTTATATCGTCGGAAAATTGGAGTGAAAAGAGCTTTCCAGACAAGGTAATTGTCACGCTTAAGCTTCGGAGGAACCATACAACTGATATTCTGAACAGTGATGGAAGAAATCGACGAGATCAGAGAATTTGAGGAATTAGGGTTTATCGCTGCAAAATTGGGGGAAGGAATTGCAGGATTTGGGGCAACAACTTTAGGCTGCACAGGAGACGAAGTCGAAGACGCCATGATCGAAGATCAAAGGTCGAAAAAAAATCGAGAGGAATTTGCAGATGCACCAATCGAAGAAGAAATCGCAAGGAAGAAGGATCGAGAGGCGGTGAAGTTGAGAGGTGGTGATACCATGTAAGAAATAAGCCTTGTATTATTTCTTTCTTAATGAGTAAGGAAAATACAACTCAATATTTATACACTTTCCTAATAAAGCTTAGTGACTAATTGTGCTTAATTAAATCTCTAATCACATAGATTAGTTACAGAAACTGTTACAACTGAATCTAAAACTGTAAAACACAGCTATACAAAACTGTTAGCTATGAGTTATCCCTTTAGAATCACCTTCCAAGCAGGAAGTCGAGCTTGAGCCGTTTCTACCAGGCCTTTGTAGGTGGTTTTAGTAATGCCAGAATGAATGAGACCAGGGCTTTGTAGAAGTGGCAAATTTGATCCAGGAAGACCAGGGAGATCCCGAGAAAATCTTGTTTGCTGAGTACTCGATTAATATTCACAAGTGCTCCTGATCATAAAATGCAAGGAGCTGCTTCACATGATTATGCCAGGCAGCAACGTTTAATCCATCGACTAGGACCCAGTCAACAACAGTTGCTGCGGGTTGCTCCCACCATTCATCAAGCTGCAGAAACGTATTGCAGCTCAGACAATTAAAGAGGGGAAAAACAAGACAACAAAAGAATTTGTACTGCTAACGTAGAAAAATGGACTGTCTATACAACTACTATAGAACTAAAAAATGCAGGCTAACTCTGCGTATGGTGGTCACTCACCAATCCCCTAACATAGTTGCAATCTTCCAAGCACTTCTGAGCACTCAAAATTGCAGCCTTAAGTTCAGGCAACCATTTCTCCATGACAATTTTCTCTTGCTCAGCAGCCACATTTAAACAATAGCTCGTTGTCCTGCAGAGTAGTAGATACAAATTAAGTGCATGTTAATCTAACAAATAGTCAGAGATCCTAAAATGCTAATTAATAACCATCACATATTTGAATGGTTTAATATTTAGAATGAATTTAACGTAACACCAGAGCTATGCATCCTGAGTTTTGACAACAGATTAGAACAAAGAGCAAACTGTAATATATTTAGAATCTGGATGAAAAAAATTCAGAACATCCAGAGCAACAAACCATGTGAATCTTAAATGAAATAAGAAAGCAGTTTCTGGCACTTTCCTTCATCTCACAATGCTCAAAATGGAATTCAAGTTTGTATTATTTGACCGAGTTCCGCTTACTGAAACTTTCGGGTTTTGGAGGATAACACAGTCTAGTTTCCTGTAAAATAAGGCCATGTGAAGTTTTACCTTTCATATTCTTGTTGAGCTCTATAGGCATGGTTCAACAACACATGACCACTTTCAACAAGATCCTGTGGTGTATGGACCAAATTAATTGCCTTTACCATGTCCTCCAACACACTAGCTTCAGAACCACGAAGTTTCGAACAGAATTCCAGGGACTCTAGGATTGATGCTAGGGCAGCGTCTGAACCCTCCAAACCTTTTATCCAGTAAATGTAAGTTCGAACTGAAAGCACCCATTAAGCAGGCACACAAACAATGAAATAGAACAAAATAAGACATCAGAGCATGCATATTGTTGGGGCTTAAAAAGATTTCACTACTTTGGAGATGTTTATCTCTCAAAGAAGAATGTAATGCAGCGGAATTGATAGGCAAGAGAAAGAAAGAATACTCAAAAGTATTACACAAGATTTTTATTCACTCACAAACTTAGTACAAGAGGAAACACTCAAACACTCTTAGAAGCTTTGTTGCTTCTTCTCACTTCTCACTTGGCACTCTCACTTCTCACTACATGCTCTCTTGGTTGTTACATCACATAGCTTAGCACCTCACCTATTTATAGGCAACGTTTGCCAACTTTGACATTGCTAGAACTTTCTAGCTAGTGCTTAACAACCACACAATTTTACAAGATTCTAGATCTTTCTACAAAAAGCCTTGGATATTTATGCATGCATTCCACCAACTTGAATTTGCTAGAACTCTCTAGCATGTGCATGAATCTTTCTTTGTGTATGGGCCTGATCAATTGTCTTGGGCCAAGACAAGATTACAATTCAACATTATATATATGACCTTTTGCCTGGAACTTAAAGAAAAAGAGCCGACACTTCATGGAATGACGAGACATGGCTTATACAATGCCAGTATATGAAGTTACTAGTAAATTTATAAGCACTATTGAAGCTGAGATCCTTACCATGTTAACTTTTAGTAAAGAGGTATATATGATTTCAAGTTCTGATCTGCGGTAATCAAATTCTTCAATCTTCTTCCACTTCTTTTTCAAAGAACCTTCAACTTCTTTCCCTTCCGCACATAATTTATTTAAGCGTTGTATTTCAGACATCAGTGTATTCAAGCTAGCCCTCAAGCCAGCAACTTCTCTTTCCTTGGCCCAAACCTCCAGCTACACAAAGAAAATGGAAGACTGTAAAAAACCAGATGATAACACAGTGCAGGTTAAAAGTAACCTAGTATACAGTATACAACTATGAAAAGGATCAAAAGACTGAAACTAATCAAACCTGTCACCCATGGTGCTATTTCCACCCAAACTATTGGTAGTTAATACTTTTAATATGCAAGGAAGATTTACCTCAAGTTGCCTAAGACTGCCCACATTTTGTGATGTTCCTGAAGAAATTACATCAGTATTGCCATGCAAGCGTTTAATAAGTTTTTGACATAGATCCCTAACTTCTGCAGCTTTTTTCAGTGCATCTTCAGTAGCCAAAAATTTCTGAACATGTGCTTTCTGTGAACAATATATTCCAAATAACAAGTTAAACTCTTGCAACAAAACAAAAGCAGAAAATGTGGGGGTAAAATGGAACCGAGCAATTATTTCATTTAAACAGTATGGTCGTTTATGGAATTAGGGTTTAGACCAACTATTATACTTTGTATGGGGATAAATCATTTAGACCAACTATTATACTTTGTATGGGGATAAATCATTTAGACCAACTATTATACTTTGTATGGGGATAAGTCATTTAAAGTTACTGATGACATACATATGTGGCGACAATGATATCAACACATACAAATGACATATCCTCCAACTTTTCTTCAAGAGAAATAATATCCTTACCACTCGTTGTCTGGAAAGAAATCGTGATTGAATGCAGAGCCTTACAACCAAGGAGTTAGGCGAGATTTTTTTGTAATTGATTTGTTATTTACTTTTCATAGTTGTATATTTGACTCAGATATAGGAAATACTTGTATAAAGGTTTTTAGTCATTTTCTTGGATTTTGCTTTCTTTTTTTTTTTCATTTTGTACACTTGTTTTTTTCGTTATTTTGATTTTCTTTGATTCATTTGAATTTAGAAATTACAAAATAAACATGAGTGTATGGAGGAGAAGGTGTAAGGAAATCATTGAACGGACGTCTGTTTATGAGGAGAAGGTGTACGGAAATCATTGAACGGTTGTCTGTTTTATAGCCGGATTACAATATAAAAATAAATTTGATGAAGAACTTGTTGAAAATTTGAGATGAATTTACCTGAAATGAAATGGCTGGTATTGTTGAAGTATAAGTCCAAAATCTGATTAGAAATAAGTTGTGATGTTAATATGTGTATGCACTTATGTTAAATACTAAGTGAGAGGGTATATAGGTATAAAAGGCCATGAGTGCCATGTGTGATGATCTTAGCTATTAGCTGAATGTGTGGCTGAGATCTATTTCAATTTGTACTGATCCAGCTCAGTTTTGTAAAAGGCATTATATCTCTCTTTGCACGTTGTGTGCAAGATAGTGAGAGACAATTAATGAAATCAATTATTCCTCTGTAACTTTGCAGAGAAAAGAACAACCTCATTCTTCTCTCCCTGTTTCATTCCAAAACTATTCATCTTCTCTTCTTCCATAGAATTAACCTTACCAAATTGTAACATGGTATCAGAGCCGATTTTCGATCAATTGAATCTGGGCGTGAAGCTGTGAAGTCACTAAGCTAAGTCAAAGCTCGGTGAAAGTCGCCGGAGTTTTCATTTGAGGCGAGAAAGCAACAGACGGATCAAGATGTCTGGATCTGGAAGCTCGGAGGTGAGAACCCCAATCTTCTCCGGTGAGAACTACGAGTTCTGGCGGATTAAGATGGTAACGATATTCAAATCGCTTGGGTTATGGAAGCTGGTGGACAAAGGGATTACAACCCCTGACTCGAAGAAGAAGGAAGTTGAAGGGTCATCGGACGATGCAGTCGATGAAGAAATGGCTGCTGTGTTCATGAAGGATGCGAAGGCTCTAGGAATCATTCAAAATGCAGTCTCGGATCAGATCTTCCCACGAATCGCCAATGCCGAATCAGCTAAGATGGCATGGGATTTGTTATACGGGGAGTATCATGGTGGTGATCAGGTACGATCTGTGAAATTGCAGAATCTTAGGAGAGAGTTTGAATATGCTAGGATGAGAGATGATGAGTCTTTATCTAGCTATCTTACACGGCTGAATGAGCTAATTAATCAAATGAGAACATTTGGTGAATCTCTGTCGAATGAGAGACTTGTGCAGAAGGTTCTGATTAGTCTTAGTAAACCTTATGATTCTATCTGTTTGGTTATAGAAAACACAAAAAGTGTCTAGAGACTGTAGAATTGCAGGAAGTAGTTGCAATCTTGAAGAGTCAAGAACAACGGTTTGATCTGCATACTGTTGATACTACTGGTAAAGCATTCTCATCTTTCTCAGTGAATTCAAAAGAGCAGAATAGGGGTGAAGGTCAATCTGGTTCATCTCAGTTCCAGAAAAATTGGAATAATAAGGGCAAGAAATGGGGTTCAAAACCTAAGTTTCAGCAGAAATTTCCTGCTAGTCCTGCACATAATGCACAGTCAATGGGGCAGATAGGTACAAAACCACAGTGCAGGGTATGTTCTAAGTTTCACTTTGGAGAGTGTAGGTATAAAGGGAAACCTAAATGCTATAACTGTGAAAAGTTTGGTCACTGGGCTAGAGAGTGCACAGTAGGTAAATTAGTGCAAAAGGCAAATAGTGCTAATCAGGTAGAGGTGACAGGGAACCTGTTTTATGCAAATAGCACAATCACTGAATCAAAAGTGAATGGAGAATGGTATGTAGACAGTGGTTGTAGCAACCATATGACAGGGGATTCTAATTTGTTAATAGACATGAAGACAAATGTGGTTGGCAAGGTTCAAATGCCCACAGGGGAACTCATGAATGTGGCAGGTTTTGGAACACTTATGATAGATACTAGCAAAGGCAGAAAATATGTCAAAGATGTAATGTATCTACCTGGGTTGAAGGAAAATCTGTTAAGTGTGGGGCAAATGGATGAACACGGTTACTATCTGTTATTTGGGGGAAAGATGTGCAGTATTTTTGATGGACCTTCATTGGATTGTCTTGTACTCAAAGTTGAAATGAAAAAGAACAGGTGTTACCCCTTGACACTGATACCAAATGATCAGGTTGTACTGAGGGCAGGTATTTCTAAGTCTACTTGGATATGGCACAAGAGACTAGGCCATCTGCATGTTAGGGGTCTTCAGCAGCTTAAAAACAAAGAAATGGTGCATGGTCTCCCAGTTTTAGAAGAAATGGATGAAGTTTGTGAAGGTTGTCAGTTTGGGAAAACAACATAGAGAGTGGTTTCCAAAGAATCAAGCATGGAGAGCAAGTAAACCTCTAGAACTGGTGCATGTGGATTTGTGTGGTCCTATGCAGAATGATTCACTTGCGGGCAACAAATATTTCATGCTTCTTGTAGATGACTGTACAAGAATGATGTGGGTTTATTTTTTCTGAAATACAAGTCAGATGCATTGATATGTTTTAGAAAATTCAAGTCCATGGTGGAATTACAATGTGACTTTAAGATAAAATGTTTGAGGAGTGACAGAGGGGGAGAATTCACATCTTGTGAATTCAACAAACTGTGTGAAGATGCAGGGATTCAAAGACAGTTATCTATGGCCTACACTCCACAACAAAATGGAGTAGTGGAGAGGAAGAATAGATCGGTTGTAGAAATGGCTAAGGCAATGCTTCATGATAAAAGCATGCCATACTTTCTGTGGGCAGAAGCAGTACACACAGCTGTGTACATTTTGAACAGATCACCTACAAAGGCACTCAATAATTTAACACCATTTGAGGCTTACAGTGGCAGAAAACCAGGGGTTGGCCATTTAAAGGTGTTTGGATCAGTATGCTATATGCATATACCATCTGAAATAAGACAGAAGCTAGATGCTAAGAGTGTCAAAGGTGTGTTTGTTGGATATGCTACATGTGAGAAGGGATACAGAGTGTTTGATCCATGCACTAAGAAGTTAATTCTTTCAAGAGATGTAGTTTTTGATGAAACTATAACCTGGAATTGGAAGAAACATTCAGAGAATTCTGTTGCTGTGACCCACATTCAGAATTCACATGAGTTGGATGAGATTCAAGACAGTGCCTCCAGTTCATATACCTCCTCTCATACTAAAGAACAAGAAAGCAGCATTCAAGAATCTGTTGAGATCCCTCAGTCTTATGATCATACTCCAGTGAAATGGAGAAACATAAATGATATTATGGCACAGTGCAATCTCTGTATTGTGGAACCTGAAAAATTCGAAGAAGCTGCACAAGATCAGGCTTGGATAAAGGCAATGGAAGAAGAACTGCAAATGATTGAGAAGAATGGAACTTGGGAGCTTGACAGACCAAGTGATAAGCAGGTGATTGGAGTTAAATGGGTGTTCAAAACTAAGTTGAACTTAGATGGTTCAGTCCAAAAGAACAAGGCAAGACTAGTTGCCAAGGGGTATGTGCAGAAACCAGGAATTGACTACAATGAGACTTTTGCCCCGGTTGCAAGATTGAACACAATCCGAACCTTGATAGCTCTTGCTGCACAGAGAAGCTGGAAATTATATCAACTAGATGTTAAATCTGCTTTTCTGAATGGAGAATTGCAGGAAGAAGTATATGTAGATCAACCTGAGGGGTTTGTAGTTAATGGCAGGGAGGACAAGGTCTACAAATTGCATAAGGCTCTTTATGGGTTAAAACAGGCACCTAGAGCCTGGTATGGAGAGATTGACAGTTATTTTACTAAGTGTGGGTTTGAGAAAAGCTTAAGTGAGGCAACTCTCTACACTAAGACAAGGGGAGAAAAGGATATACTAATAGTCTCCATATATGTGGATGATATTGTGTATACTGGAAACAATCAAGACATGCTGGATGAGTTCAAAGAAGATATGAAGGAGAAGTATGAGATGTCAGACTTGGGCCTTCTTCATCATTTTCTGGGAATGGGGATAATTCAAACAGAATCTAGCATCTTCATTCATCAAAAGAAGTATGCCTCTTCCCTGTTGGATAAGTTTGGATTGAAAGAATGTAAATCTGTCTCTATACCTCTTGTGGCTACTGAAAAGTTGAGTAAAGAAGATGGCAGTGGTGCAGCAGATGAAGAGAAATACAGAAAGCTTGTAGGCAGTTTACTGTATCTTACTGCTACAAGACCAGATATAATGTATGCAGCTAGTTTATTAGCTCGATATATGCATTGTCCTACCAATAAACACTATGGAACAGCTAAGAGAGAGTGCTCAGATATGTTAGGGGCACATTGGACTATGGTTTGAAGTATGAGAAAGGCAAGAAGGCAGTCTTAATTGGTTTTTGCGATAGTGACTGGGGAGGATCTCTTGAAGACAGCAAAAGCACCTCAGGCTATGCATTTTCTTTTGGAAGTGGAGTGTTCTCATGGGCCTCTGTGAAACAACACTGTGTTGCTCTTTCTACTGCAGAAGCCGAGTATATATCAGTGCTTCTGAAGCCACAGCTCAGGCCATATGGCTCAGATTTGTTCTGGAAGATTTTGGAGAGTTACAAGTTGATGCAACCCCTCTGCAGTGTGATAACACATCTGCAATCTCAATATCCAAGAACCCTGTGTTTCACCAAAAGACAAAACACATTGACAGGAGATATCACTTCATCAAGGATGCCTTGCAGCAAGGGATAATTGACTTGGTTTACTGTCCTACCAAAGAACAAGTGGCAGACATTTTCACCAAGGCATTACCAAAGGACAGGTTTAACTATCTCAGGGACAAGCTAAGAGTTATATCAGCTTTGGACTTAAAGGGGAGTGTTGAAGTATAAGTCCAAAATCTGATTAGAAATAAGTTGTGATGTTAATATGTGTATGCACTTATGTTAAATACTAAGTGAGAGGGTATATAGGTATAAAAGGCCATGAGTGCCATGTGTGATGATCTTAGCTATTAGCTGAATGTGTGGCTGAGATCTATTTCAATTTGTACTGATCCAGCTCAGTTTTGTAAAAGGCATTATATCTCTCTTTGCACGTTGTGTGCAAGATAGTGAGAGACAATTAATGAAATCAATTATTCCTCTGTAACTTTGCAGAGAAAAGAACAACCTCATTCTTCTCTCCCTGTTTCATTCCAAAACTATTCATCTTCTCTTCTTCCATAGAATTAACCTTACCAAATTGTAACAGGTATGTGAGAAATCCTCTTGGAAACATGTGTCACAGTAGACAGTGCCCACAACAACTGCAGAAGGATCGTTCTTCTCATGGCTAGCCTCTGAAGGAGTATGAAATGTAAGAGCAGTAACAAGAATGATAACTATAAAAAAACCAAGACATGGTTTTAGAGCCTATCTATTCCCCCTCTAAGAAAGCTCTGATATTCTTGACTCGAAGAATGAGTTGATACAGGTTGTCTTTTAGTTATATCAAATGCTGAGGCCTTATAACTAATGTAAATATTCTCTGTAGGATTATACACACTTTACATGTACGCAAAACTCATCAAATTGATTGTGATTGACAGACAAATAAGGAATGACTATTTTCGAATATTATACAGCCTGGGGTCCATCGAGCTTCAGCATTACACTCATGGAAAAACCAGTCAACTGCAAATCAGAAGAAGTGAATGTAGCTAGGTTTCATTCCCTACCACCAAACCGTACAAGAAAAAAAAGGTAATATTTGTGATGGTGGGCAAGTAGATAAAAGAGGTCCCTAATTTTTGTGTTCCTGTGTGTTTCGTTGTTGTTTCTTTGTTGGTGTAAGAATGCCAAAGGGAATATTGGGTCCCGGTTAGTTGAGAAACTTGAAAGAAAACAAAATGATTTTTTTTTTTCTAACTAACTGCATTATTAGTGTTTGTATCTACTTACAGGTTGATCAATATACACAACTCATAATAATTATTGAATAAAAGAAAGAAGTTTTTTTCATTTTACTAATATACTAAGAGTGTTGACTCACTGTTTACTTGTATTGATGTTTTGTGTTCGAAATAGTCAGGAAGGAAGTGAGAATGCACATTGAAGTTAAAAAAGGGGATGCTTTTACTTAACAAAAAAAAAAAAAAAAAAAGGAAAAACAAATAAAAAGGGCTTGAAAATTTTGAGTTTTAACAATAAAAACAAAATAAAGGGTAAAGTGAATAGTACCAGGATTGACTTTTTAATGTAAAAATGTGGTTTTTCGTTAAATTGAACAATACTGAAAGCTTTTTGTTAAAATTCCCATTAAAAAAAGGATGCTTTTAAAAAGAAGAAGCGATGGTTTTGTCCAATTCCCTGCCATTCACAAAAGACATTTATTTATATATACTAAACTCAGCAACAAAAATACCGTTCATCATGTGAGAGAGAGCATTGTTCACTAACAGTGAAATGGCGGATTTGCCGCTGCTTGGTCTATTTGATTTTAGTTGCGCCATGTTTTACACGTGTTTGTCATCAGTGAAATGGAAGCAGGCTGAGAGCAGTTCCAGCGTGGGAACACCCCCCAGGCAATACACTATGCTATCCACCCATTGAACAGTAATCGCCTTTTGCATTTCCACCGTTGCACTTCAATAGCCCTAGCAATAGGCAATAAAATATTAGTATTTTATTTATTTATAAAATAATACAAAATAATTTTATTTGTAATTTCGGATAAGAATTTTAACCGTTCTCATTGCGCCACGTGTCATTATCCGAAAAGTTATAAAATAATACAAAATAATTTTATTTGTAATTTCGGATAAGATCTTTAATCGTTCTCCTTGCGCCATGTGTCATAAAATCTGAAAAGACAATTATTGGTGATGGATTTTCGATAAGATTTTTAATCATTCTCTTTGCGCCACGTGTTATTATCCGAAAAGTTATAAAATAATACAAAATAATTTTATTTGTAATTTCGGATATGATTTTTAATCGTTCTCGTTGAGCCACATGTCATAAAATCCGAAAAGACAATTATTGGTGATAGATTTCCGATAAGATTTTTAATCATACTCGTTGCGCCACGTGTCATTATCCGAAAATACAATTATTGGTGATGGATTTCCGATAAGATTATTAACCAATCACGTCGCGCCACGTGTCATAATCTTTGAGGATAGATTTCCATTAGATTTTTAACGAATGAAGGCATGCCACGTGACATTATCTACAACCTAATCCTTTCTGAATCCTCTATATAATCCACCATCCATCCTCACAAATCTCACACCAATTTTCTCAAGATCTCTATCATTATTCATAGTTTCTGCTTCATTTTTACAATGTCTTCTTCTTCAAGGATGATGTGGGAAATCGATCAGCAAGAGGAATAATTGTTTAACCAATAAGAAGGAATGTTCAATCTCCAGGTGGCCCAAAATGAGAGGGAAGAGGATGAAGAGTGTAGAAGGAAAGATGACGAAGCAAGAATGGGCAGAGCCTCACATTCCCGTCGAGTCATCCAAGTTGTGGGTTAGATTTGCAGGCCCTGTCGAGTCATTGATTCTTTGGTTCTTTTCCCACCCATTTTCTCAAGATAATTGGTATGAATAAGACTCCACATTTTTCGCAACTGCATCTCAGCTAGTACACAACGCAACATCTTCAAGAAGCGTCATATTCGTACCTGCATTAGTAGTCATTTGTTAAAAAAATTTGGACTGAAACTTTGAGAGAAAGATAAGAATGTGGTTGAAAATAGTTGAGAAAATATAAATTTGTGGTGTAAGGTAGATGATAATGAGAAGGTATATATAGAAAAGTAAAAACAAATTTTTTTAAAAAATTTCAAAATTTTTTTTTCGGATTTTTATTTATTTTTAAATTTTTTTTTCAACTAATTAATCTCTGCCTTTGGATTTAAAAAAAATTGAATTCCAACACTCCAGATTGTGCCACATGGCACAATGGTAACATTTCTGAATTTTAAAACTACTTTTTCTTTTTTTTATTTATAAAGGAAAATAATATAAATTGTTGATCCCAGATCAAACGGTTGATATTAAATAAGATTTATTTATTTTTTTTACCGTTGCAAATTTGACGGTCCACATTTTCTTGCTGTTGAGATCCAACGGACCATGGGAAGCCACGTGGTTTCCCAACGGTAATAATTTGAAACTGCGCCGCATGCCCCATTCGCTGAAAACATTTCGGGTGACGCGCCCAAAGCACGGGTGCAGTGCACGCGTCTGACAGAAAAAAATAAAAAAGGAGCTGATGTTAGCCTTGCGTCAAATAGCCTTTGGGCTAACGAGTTGGCAATTCGTGACAGGCCTGGTGCTCGGGCCTGCTTGTCCCTCGGGCTCCCACAAGCTGGAGTCAATAAGCCGGGCTCTCAGGCCCTATTTGCTGGCTTGTCCCCCGAGCTCCAGCCAAAGCTGAAAGTGCTCTGAAAGAGCTGGGGTGTTCCCCCTGCTTCCTTGCTCTTCTTTTCCTCGGCACTTTTCTTTTCCTTATTTTCCATCGACTTCTCTGTTTCTATCTCGCAACCAGCTACAGCACCGATTCACCCTCCATTTCTCCTGCTTAGCATAAGAAAATCAAAGGGGTTCACCAGCGTGGGTTCCGTCGGATTCCATAGACAAGGGCGTGGTGACCCGGTATAAGTTTGGGGATTTTGTTTATAGCTTTGGATTCCCCATCATGGTGTTTACTTTTGTTTTATTTTTTTCTTTAGGAAATCATGGTTCTTCGGATTTGGGGCTTTTGTTTGCAGCCTTCAAATCCCTATCTATTTAAGGTGAGTGATTTCAAGATTTTAGAGTTTTGTTTGGTCTTCTCCGCTCAATCTCTATGGTCATATGTTGCTTCAGAAATTTGGAATGTTTGAATTTCTTTCTGGGTTTATATGGTTCTGCCTCTGATTGAATTTGTTTTTTGCTTCATGAAATCATCTGGGTTTTATTGATTTGATTGTATTTTGTAAAATTAGGGAGTTTTGCTTCTTTTTTTTTTTGGGTGTTAATCAAGTTTGGTAAATACGAAATATTGGACAGTTGATTGTGGTTGATGGGTTGATCTGGGTTTTGTTTTACTTATTTAGATTTGAAATGCTAGGTTTTGTGGTCAATAATCCTTAAAATTATCAGAAACCCAGAAAATATAACGTAGTTTTTGAGTTTGTGGACATTTATATATATGTGGAAATTCGAAGTAGTTGGTTTATTTTATTTTACTTGAATTATTGTTTCTGAAAGGGGTAGGAAGAATTGGAGAAAATGATGAGGGAGAAGATCAAGATCAGGAAGATCGATTACTTGCCGGCAAGGCAGGTGACCTTCTCAAAGAGGAGAAGAGTGGATTTGAAGAATGCTGGAGAGCTGTCCATTCTGTGTGAATCTGAAGCTGTTGTTATCATCTTTTCCCAAACTGGCAAGCTCTTTGATTTCTCAAGCTCCAGGTACCAACCCTGTACAACATCCCACCGCCTTATAAATTCTTTCGAATTTTCCAGTTTGTTTTTGCAATTTTTCAATCCAGTGTTGGACTTTGAGAAATAAGTTTTGGAATTGCTTTTTAGGTATGGATTTTATGGGAGGCGTCTAGAAGGTTCAACTTTGATCGTCGAAAGCACGGGATGCTAAGGATCGACTTGGAACAGTTGCCTCGCATGCTCAAAAGGTCGTATACTATATGCTGATATGCTTCCTACAATCTTCGGTCTATGAGACTATGAGTATGGTGTCATTTTGCAATTGGCTTCTTTGTCTTTGCTTGCAGATGAACAACATTTTTTGGTGAACAATGGATTCAAATTCAGCGTCTTGAGCAGGCTTTTCATATTACTCAAGTAAGCATTTGTACTTGAGACTGGCTTCTCATTCTGTGTGCAAGTTTTATCGAAATGAGCTTTATTAATTGGTTTAACTCGGTTAGGACTATGAGGCTTCAATGGCAAGTGAGCTCTAGAAGATGCACATTCTTGAATAGTTTAGATCAGTCTGTATGTGTGAGTCAGTGAGGCTTCATTTAATCAATAAGAAACCACTTTCCTTAGGCCGTTGTGAAGTGTATAATTAGAGTAATAGAATGCAATGAAATATAATGTTTTTTTTCACTCTCTTTAGACTTTTTTTTTTTTACTTTTATTCTCTTTGTGCAAGATCCTAGGCCGTTGTGTGGTCGTCGTTCTCATCCAATTTTCTATGGATATATCTAAGATTAAGTTCGATGTATATAAGCATTGAAGTGGTAACCTTTTCCAATATCTTTCATATAATTTTCAACCCTGCAGCAACGCGCGGGTACAAATTCTATCACGGGCGAGTTTAAGCTTGCCTTGTGGGGGGGAGTGAGGATCAAGAACTTTTTCATGTCTCACCAATTTTCAAATGGTGTCAAACTTGACGGAAAAGGTTCTCACCGGATCCTTTTCCTGGGGATTCTAGGGATCTCGTGACCGTTCATCGTATATCGTGTAGTTAGAAATCATTTCAAAATTTAAAATTTAAAATTAAATATAAATAGTACTAAACAAAAACTGACCGTATAATGTACGATTCATGATCATGATCAAGGGATTCTTAAGATCCCAAGGAAAAGGATCCGGGGAGGATCCTTTTCCAAACTTGAAAATGACACAAGGCATTTTCTCATTCTATGAGTGAATTTATGCATATTTTAAGATTGTAGGGTGTACTGGACCTAACAGAATAAGAAAGAGACTGTTATTAACACTTTAAAGTAATTATCAAGAACTCCTCATAAATAATATCGAGACGTGCATTGGCGAAGCTACAAAGACGCAAAGAGGTGTGCTCGCACCTCTAGTCGCTGAAGTTTGTTCCCAAAATCCAGGTTTTCACCCCTTTGCTCTGGTGCTGCATTTTGGTTTTCTATAGTGGGGCGTGTTGAAATTATTTTATATCGACAGGTCCGAGGGGGGCGCTCTAACGACACCGATACTATCTTCAACTTTAGCACTTGCCTAATTTGTGAGGTATGAGGTTTTATTACAAAAGGCCTCTGTATTAGTTAGAGTGGGGTATAATTCTATTTAAAGTTATTGCTTTTCTTTACCCCCACTGATGTGGGATTGCTAACACGCCCCCTCATGTGTAATCCCATTTAGTGGTTCACACGTGAAGATCCACACATCAGAAATTGAAAATCAAAGATCGGCTCCAATAGAGTCCAAACTTGTTTTTTCAAGAAGTGACTCTTAAGAACTCAGAGGCTGGCTCTATGTTGAGTTCAAGCTTGTTTCCAAGCCCACACTTCCAGGTGACAAGCCTTTGGTTTGCATAGGCCCGTAACTGTGGGCTCTGATACCATGCTGAAATTTTTTAGATTGATGGGCTTTGGGGGGGGCAACTTTAACGACACTGATACTGTCCTCAACTTTACTATCTGCCCAATCCGTCAGGTTTTACCACAAAAGATATTGGTATTTACCACAAAAGATATTGGTATTAGTTACAGTGGAGTATTCCTATTTAAAGTCATTGCTTTTCTGGACTGCTAACAGGGCGTTGCTCCGTTTTAGTTTTTTTATTTTTTTATATTTTTATATTTTTTTATTTTTTTTTAACCCAAGCCAAACAACATTGCTTTGCACCCGAGGAAACAAAAATTTAAAAATGAAACGAGTCAAACTACGTCGTTTCGCTACAAAGAGTTCATAAAGTTTTTTCATAGATGCTACCACAGCCTCTGCTGGTTCAAGTATGCTCCCTTTTTCCTCGAACACGCCCTGCAACAGAAGCACACGAGCTAATTAAAAGGCAACCTAAAACTAATCGCTAATATTGTTAAAGTAAAAGGTATTTTAAAAAAAAAAATTGATTGAAACTTTGTTCTGAAGAAGAAGAAAACGATGGAGGATGGAAATGTTAGAGAGTGCTCTCTAGATAATTAACACTAATAACTAGTTAATTAATTAATTAATTATATGAAGGCATGAATTTTTCATGGCAGAAGAGAAGACCATGCATGTTACCTCTGAAATGTTGATTTGTAATGTTCCTAATAGTGGTGCAGGCAACCTTCTTCTCCTTAAGTCGTCCGAGCCTACAATTGCAATGTCTAATATTATATCACCCGGCTCCTCAACTTTTATATTTTGTCTGTGTGCCATTGTTATATTTTTCTCTCTTTTGCTCACTCGGAATATTATTTGGCAAAGTGCTAATTTTTCACATCTAATGTTTGGTTTAGCCAATATCTGCACAAGTAGGTGTTGAGTCGATTAGTATTTTTTGCTTTTAAGAAAGTTCAATGAAGAGAAGTTTTAGCATGTGATATTCACGTTCAATGAAGAAAGTTCACGTATAAATAGTCCTCGTGATGATAGGGTATTCTGAAGATAGCCATGTGGTAAAAAAAATTCGGTTTTAAACCCTTTTGGTGAAGTTCGTTAGGTTTAAGCTCAAAAACCAAATTTCCATTATCTCTCTGTTAAATCCAAAAACGAAACTGTGAATTTCTGCACTCCCTTCGTTGTGGCTCAATAGAAATGGACTGTTTTCCAAATACCCTATCCTCAGTATATGATTCCATACACGTATTGCCTCTGGCACGGCTGCCAGTTATTTATGTAAGGATTATTATTTTCCTTCTTAAAACTATCAACATTAAGTTTAAATCAATTTTGAATGAAGAGCTTTCCAGTGGAGCAAAGATTCAATCTTACGGCGTTTATCAATCTTGTGAGTATTAGAATGCTAACCATTCATGAAAATATGCACAAATAGCGACTGTAAGCTCATCAAACATTGCAAAATCCTGCTCGAAAACAAATTTATTTCGCCAATACCAAATAAACCAACAAGCAATGGAAAATACTAACATCTACTCTAAACCCCCCCCCCCCCCCCCCAATATGAGTGATTAGTGGTGAGATTAAAATGAAGCCAATCATGAAAATCAATGTGGTCTGACTATTGTTTATACTTTCCAACTTTTGCCAAACTTCTCTTGCCTTAGAAAAATCTTTGACACTCAAGGTTATCTGTAATGGTAATTGGTAATATTGTCTGCAAAGCATATACTGGACAACGGAGGTGACAGACTGAACAAAAGTGGCCCGACCAATAAGAGATAATAAATTTACCTTTCAAGCATAAATTTGAGCTTGAGTTTCTACTAAGCCTTTGTAGGTTTTTTTAGCGATGCGAGAATGAATGAAACAAGGGCTTTGTAGAAGTGGCAAATATGATCCAGGAAGTGTTGGAATTTTTTAGATCAACGAGCTCGAGGAGCCCCCTAACGACACCAATACTGTCCTCAACTTTACCACCTGCCCAATTCGTCAGGTGTGGAGTTTTACCACAAAAGGCCTCAATATTAGTTAGAGTAGGGTAATCATATTTAAAGCCACCCTTGTTGACTTCCCCCACTGATGTGGGATTGCCAACACGCCCCCTCACGTGTAACCCCATTTAGTGGTTCACACGTGGAGATCCACACATCATCAATTTAAACTTAGAGGTTGGCTCCAATAAAGTCCAAACTTGTTTTCAATCTTTTCAAGAAAATGATACCGATACTATCCCCAACTTTACCACTTGCCCAATCCGTCAGGTGTGGAGTTTTATCACAAAAGACCTCGGTATTAGTTAGAGTAGGGTAATCATATTTAAAGCCATCCTTGTTGACTTCCCCCACCAATGTGGGACTACCAACATGCCCCCTCACTTGTAACCCCATTTAGTGGTTCACATATAGAGATCCACACATCGTCAATTGAAACTTAGAGGTTGGCTCCAATGAAGTCCAGACTTGTTTTCACTCTTTTCAAGAAGAGGATCATCAATTGAAACTTAAGGGTTAGCTCCAATGGAGTCCAGACTTGTTTCAATCTGTTCAAGAAGTGCCTCTTAAGAACTCAGAGACTGGCTCTATGTTAAGAGTCCAAGCTTGTTTCCAATCCCACACTTCCTGGTGACAAGCTTTTGGCTTGCACATGCCCTTAATCATGGGTTTTTGATACCATGTTGAAATTTTTAGATCGACAACTTTACCACCTGCCTAATCTGTCAAGTGTGGGGTTTTACCATAAAAGACATCATTATTAATTAAAGTAGGGTACTCATATTTAAAATCACCATTGTTGACTTCCCCCACCGATGTGGGACTGCCAACAGGAAGACTAATTAGATCCCCATAAAATATTGTTTGCTGAGTACTCAAATAATATTCACAAGTGCTCCTGATCATAAAATTCAAGGAGTTGCTTCACATGATTATACCATGCAGCAACATTTAATCCATCGACTCAGACCCAGTCAACAACAGTTGCTGCTAGTTGCTCCTACCTAGGGATGGGCAACGGTTATGGTGGGTGGGAGTCCCACTACCATGGACGGAGGGAGGTAAGGCCTATTGGGGGCACTTGCCCCCTCCCATCCTTTTTTTTTTCATTACAAATTATTCAATTAATCATTCCCAATTTTTTTGCTTTGCGGATTATTCAATTAATCATATTAAAATAGTGAGAATCCTCTTTTAGTTTTTAAATGTCCCTTTGTCTTGTATATTTTTCTCACGCACTAATGTCTAAACCTTGTTGAGTTGCATGTATTTGATTAAGGGAGCTACTAGATCCACCCCGTTGTCTTATTTTCCCACCCATGTTATATTTACACCCACTATAAAAAGGTAAAAAATTAAAATGTTATTTTCCCACCCACTATTATTCCTAATAACCCTTAATATATATATATATATATATATATATATATATATATATATATATATATATATATATATATATATAATTAGAGATAAAAAGTCACAGAGCTATACTTCAATTATATGATGTCGACAAATCAAGATGACCCACATAAAATTATCTTTTACCTCTTCGACGGAAACATAATCATCTACTTCTTCCATAAAAACATCATTTGCTAAGTTCATTCTTTTTGCTTTCTCTGAATGAAAAGAGATGGGAATGATGAGTTAGGGTTTAAGGGAGACAAATCGTCTAAACATAGTGCGAGAATTATCACGCCCAAACTTTTCTTTTTTATTTTTTATAAAAAAAAAGTAATGCAAAAGTGGGTAACTAAGGTCCTTGTTAGTCATTTTACAAATTGACAAATTTGTAATTAAAAA